AGCTTAGCAGGTTGTGACCATTGGGATCAGTGCCTGGGCCTCAGCTTTTACAATCTATAATCAATAATTTGGATCTGGTTCCAACTCCCCCATCTTCTGTTCTGTTCTGTTCCACTCTCCCTCGTCTTTGTCGTCCTCTCATTCCCACCTCAGCTCTGTGTGTGTCCCTCCACCACAGGCACACTTCACAATGGCTGCTCACCACCATCTTTGCCAGGGTCAAGTAGGGATGGACAGCAAATGCTGAGTCCACCAGGGACATTCACAACCCATGAAAGAATTAAACAATCATGCAAGTAGTTGGACAGGAGTAATTAGAAAAGCTAATTGGAATCACTGATTGTGACGGGAATTGAATGTAGAAGTGTGGTGGTGATGCTTCAGTTATACAGGGCATTAATGAGATCATTTTGGGAGGACCATGTACAGTATTGGTCTCTTTATTGAAGGAAGGATGTGAAGCATTGGAAACAGTTTGGAGAAGATTTACCAGAATGATACCTGGAATTGATGGTTTGCTTTATAAGGAAAGGCTTGTATCCACTAGCATTTAGAAGAATAAGTAGCAACTTGATTAAACAAAAGATCCTGAGGATCTTGATGAGAGATGAGGGAAGGCCATTTCCTGTTGTGAGAGAATTTGGAACTGGGGTCCATGTTTAAAAATCAGGGCTCGCCCACTAAAGACAGAGATGAGGAGAATTTCTCTCTTGCAGAGACTGTTGTGGAATTCTTTTCATCAAAAGGTGGTGGAAGAAGAGTCCTTGAATATTTTTAACGCAAAGGTAGATAGATTCATGATTTATGGGGGCAGAGGAGGAGTGAAAGTGTGGAATAATCAAATTGACCATGTGGACTCAAGGGACCGAGTGGCCTTCTCCTGTTCCTGATTCATATGTGAAAAAGAAATCCATCAGTTCTGTTGACCTTGATCACTCCCTGATGGAAGCAACATTCTGCCAAATCCCTGGGGAAAAATGTTTCTCCTGATTCCCATTTGGATTTGAGACTGACGATCTCCTTTTGGTGGTTGTAGAGGGTGCAGAAAAGATTTACAAGGACGTTACTGGGATTGGAGGGTTTGAGTTAGAGATTAGATAGGCTGAGACCTAGGAGGTTGAGGGGTGACCTTTGTAGAGGTTCATAAAAAAAATTGTGAGGCATATGGATAAGGTGGGTAGCCAAGGTCTTTCTCCAAGTGTAGGAGAGTCCAAAACTCAAGGGCATAGGTTGAAGATGAGAGGGAAAGATTTAAAAGTGACCTCAAGGGCAACGTCTTCACGCAGAGGGTCGTTCATTTGTGGAATGAACTGCTAGAGGAAGTGGCAGGTGCAGGTACAGTTACAACATTTAAAAGACATTTAAATAGGTACATGAATAGGAAATGTTTAAGGGGATATAGGCCAAATGCAGGCAAGTGGCACTAATTTATTTTGGGGAAACTCAGCATGGGTGCGTTGTACCTAAGGGTCTATTTCCGTACTCTATGATTCTGTGACTCTTATGTAATATTTCCAAGTTTGCAGATAGTGCAAAACCTGAGTGTGAGATTTGTGAGGAGAATGCAGGGAGGTTTCAAGGGGCTTTAAACACGTTAAATGCAATGGCGTGTGGACAGTAATGTGGATAAGCGTGAGGTTATCCAGTTTGGTAGGAGAAGCAAAAATGCAGAGTATTTTTTAAATGGTGAATGTGTGAAAAGTGTTGATGTCCCAAGCAATCTAGGTGTCCTTGTTCATAAGGCACTGAAAGCTAGCATGAAGGTGCAGCAAGCAGTCCAGAAGACAAGAGACCTTCTGTAGGTTCACCTTTATCACAAGAGGATTTGAGTGCAGGAGCAAAGAAGTCTTGCATCAATTTTCTGGAACACTAGTGAAACTGCACTTGGAGTTTTGTGTGCTGTCCTGGTCCCCTTGTCTAAGGATAGATATGCTTGCCATAGCAAGGGTGTAACAGAGGTTCACCAGACTGATTCTTGGGATGCTGATTTTATCCTAATCCTAATGAGGAGAGATTGAAGAGACTGGTTCTGTGTTATCTGGAATTTAGAAGAATGAAAGATGATCTCAGAAACTTAGAAATTACTTAAAGGGATAAACAGAGGAGATGCATAAAGGATGTTTCCTCTATTTCTTGGCTTTAGAAACAGGGGACATGGTATCAGATTAAGCCTTTTGGTTTGATGAGGAAGTTCTCATTCAGAAGAATCTTTGAACTTCTCTGCCTCAGATGGTTTCTAGTTACTAATGATATCAAGGGATATGTGATAGCTCAGGGTTATAGTCTTGACGCAGATGGTCAGCTATGGTCTAGAATGGTGGAGCAAGCTCGAGGGGCTGAATAGCTTAGTCTTGCACAGATTTTGCTAGGTTACAATATGGCTTAGTCCTCCACCTATGTTCCTAGGTTACAACGTAGTTTAAAAATGACGTAGACAGGTTAAATGAGCAGGAAACAAAGTAGAGATGGGCTAAAATGTGGGCAATTTTGAGATTATTCACTTTAGTAATAAAGTAGAAAAGTAGAATTTTTTAAAAATACTATGATATTCCAAGGAACTCGCGTGTACTCTCACAAGGAAAACAAAGTTAGCATACAGGTACAGCAAACAATTAAGAAATGGTGGTCATTATTGCAAGGTGATTAGAGCACAAGAAGAAAAAAGTTATTGTTGTTATATTGGGCTTTGGTGAGACTACAATTGGAATATTTATGGAAGACTATACTTGCAATCAGGACATTTCAGTGATGGCTCACCAAATTGAACTCTGGGATAAGAGTCTTACGGTGAGAGGTTGAGTAAATTAGACTTGTACTTTTCGGAATTTAGAAGGACAAGACGGAATCTCATTGAAGCATTCAAGCTCTTGAAGGGGCTTGATTGGATAGGCACGGGTCTTTTTCCTTTTGCTCGTGAATCACGAACGTGGGCGCATGGCCTCAGGATAAAAGGCCAAACACTTAGGACTTAGGCAGAAATGTCTTCACTTAAAGAGTTGTAAATCTCTACCATAGGGGATTGTGCATGCTCTATTGTTGAATATATTTCAGTCTGAGATGAACAGTTTTTAGGGTCCTGGAATGGGGAGCAGATGGAAAATTGGAGTTATGACCACAACCAAATTAGCCATCGTTGAATTGAATGACAGATCTAGGTTCAGGAGCTATATGGCTTTATTTTCTTCATTAGTTTTTTAACAATGCCCATCACCTACGGTCTACTCCTACTCTAACTTATTATGGTTTTGTGATATTTCAGATTATGATTAATAATAGTCATACTCAGTCTCCACAAATACAATTCAGCAAGTTTCATGGTATAAAAGTCAGAAAGTAGATAGTGACTGTAGTCCGACATTGAGGTGCAAATGCCAAATCAGCATGCGATGTACGTGATGTCTGGGAGCTGCTTCATTTATGTGGCATAGCACCTCACTCACTGTGTTAAGGAAAGTGACCACTTAGGTTAAAAGGTTTAAATCAACACGAGATGCAAGAAGTTATTCACTTCTTCCTTGTCCAAATTGCTGTCCCAGTTTTTCTTGTAATGGAAAGTTTTCAGTCGAGTGGATGAACTTTGATGCAAGGTGAAGGATTTTCTTCAAGCTCAATGCTTCATGCTCTTAGTATCCTTGTACTGTATTTATACTTACAGGACTAATTAGAGACTAACTTTGGATTTTTTTCTATTTACTGTTTTTAGCTGCAACTGAGTGGGAACTGGGAAGAAAAGAGTTTGGAGCACAGTCAGTATGCATGCCATAATCATAACATAAACAAATTCATTGACATCAGCGGTGTTTTCAAAATAGATGTATGCACCACTCCCCAATGAGCTATGGAAGAACATATTTTCGAAAAAGACTTGAGTAGGAACTAACATCAAATCTCTGTAATTTGTTGTATTATAATCATAGCGCTTTGGAATTTTATTCAGATTCTTCCATCGGAAATATACTAAAATTAAAATGATCCTTGTTGAACTAAAATAACCAGTCCTCTTGTTTTTTCCTGTAACCTGCTAAAATTGTTCTTTGAAAGTTTTTGTAGGGTTCAATATTTGGCTTGTTTTGAACCATGTTATGGTTGTTAGCCTTTTTTCAAATTATTTTTGGCTCTCCTGGGCTGCATGCTTTTTTGCTCCATTTACGGGAAAATAAACAATCTGGCTTAATCTGACTGGTAGTGCAAGTTAGTTAAGACTGCTAAATGCCTCACAAAGTTCAGCCAAATTCTTATATTTAAATAAGCACAATAATGACATGAATTCACTTACATAGTTCTAAAAGTAGATGAGAAGATAGTGCTGGAAATCTTGATGTTTACAGAAGTAAAGTAATGCTGACACTTGAATACATTTCCATTTTATATGTACCATCCAAAATAATTTTGCATCTTCTGTTCAGAGAACATTGTCTTTTTTGCTATTCGGCGAACATAGTATGTGGCATTATTTGTTGCAGCTGCCCATCATCTTGCTGATTGCCTCCTTGCTTTGAGATCTCTTGTCTCCAAGTGATATTTACCTGGGATTTAAACAGTATCATGGGGACCCTGACAACAGGTGGAAACCCAGTTTTGACAATATGGGAATAGTTGATCTGCTGAATAAGTAAGTCACGTCTGAGGGCATTCGGACTACTCAGGCAGGCCTAGGAAAGGGATAGTTTGTGTGAGTACAGAACTTGTAGTTGCCATTGTGTGTGGATGGGGCTCATCTGTGAACCACTGTTGCCCAATATTAAGGATCCCACCCCTTCTGTCAGAATCTGCAAGGATGTCACCAGAGTTCTCTCCAAATGTCAGAGTGCCCGCCCACCCCTGGTAAATGCCTGCAGCAGTGGGAAGAGGCCGTTAATTATCCTCTGGACAGGTGCTATGCTCCAGCATCCCTCTGCTCTCTGTCACCATTTTATGGGTGCCCCTGCCTCCCAGCCCATCCTCAAAGGTTAGATTTCTTCAATGGTCTTGACAATGTTAAATGTTGTCAGACAACTTACTTGACATTTGCTCTAGAGTTGTCATTAAGATTTTACCAAAATGTAATTGTTACATAACATGATACGTAATTTCCTACATTTGGAAAAATAGCATAGTTATTTCTTCATTTCCTTATTGATCAATTTCAACAGCCAAAAATCACAGTGATTGCATCTTGTATTTTAATCGAAAATATACAGGATCATACATGGCATATTGACCTGATTATCGGTAAGCTTGAAATTGTGGTGGGGAATGGATGAAGCATGTGAGCAATTTCAGCCTTAGCATATTTATATGTTCTCCATGATATTTTTGTTGTGTGAATGTAAACAATACTGCAGTGTTCAAACTTCATGTCAGTAATGCCTGGTGTTGCACTGCAGTAGCTATAGTTGTGCCTCAACAGCATGATCGCTAGGCAACTTGGTCCTCTTGTTGACCCCTCTGTATAATAGTTGCATAGATCTCCTCCAACTTTGAAATATATGCATTTTTTAAAATAAAAGAGACTGTCAAATTGACATCCATCTGGATTTAAAATACACTGCATAATAAACTTGGATCTAGGCTACCTTTAGTGCTTATTGGTACCTGCCAGTGCTTTGAATGCAAACAAGTCAACACAGCATAGGTCTGTGCCTACTTTTGCAGCAAAAACTATTATAAAAAAGTCTGTACTCAAATCAATGAATTTTTTCGTCATGCATTTTTTCAGTGACCCCCACAAATTACTTCAGTTCTGTATGAAATGTGTCTGGCATCCAGTAGCAATGTACATACACACTATATATACTCCTCGCCGCACTCAAAATCACTTTCAAATAGAACAGTCTTACAGAGATAGTATGGAACTGCAGATGCTGGAGAATCTGAGATAACAATGTGTAGAGCTGGATGAACACAGCAGGCCAAGCAGCATCAGAGGAGCAGGAAAGCTGACGTTTTGGGCCTTATTTTCCTCAATGTGATTGGTGTGAAATTTGTTAATGAGTTCTCCACTACTGTTGACTGAAAATTTGTCTTCACTGGTTAGTATATCATATAGGGGATAACATATAGGTTGAATTAGAAGATTGGCTTTATCAGCAACGTTGTAAAAATCTGTTTGCTTAACTCGTAGAGGTCTACAGCACAGAAAAGGGCTCTTTTGGTTTATTGAGTTTGTGCCGGTCAAAAGCAATCACCCTACTATTCTAATCCCATTTTCTAACACTCGGCCTGTGGCCTTGAATGCCTTGGCATTGCACGTGTACATCTGAATACTTATTAAGTATTATGAGGGCTTCTGCCTCTACCACCTTTTATAGGCAGAGAGTTTTATACCAGGCAACGTCCTGGTAAATCTCCTCTGGACCCTCAGTCATATCCCTCCTATAATGTGGATTCCAGAACTGCACACAATATTCCAGCTGTGACCAAACCAACTTTTTATATGCTTCCAGCGTGACCGCCCTACTCTTAAACTCTTTGCCTCATTCATTTGAAGAGCCACTGCTGACACGATGGGCTGAATGACCTCCGTGTGCACCATGACAGTTCTTTGGATGCTGTAAGCTTAATTTTCATTTGGATTATGAAACAACATTTGCTTATCGATGGCTCTCTGTGGACTGAGATTACCGATATTTGTTTACTACATGTTCATTCTATGAGTGAAAGAAAAATTAAGCATACTTTAGACTTTTCAGAAACTCCCTGCACACAGTGCTGTAAAGATTTGGCGTCCGGGTGTGTTTTTTTAATTAGGAAAAATTTACAGAACACATACGAGATAATTTTCTAGATAATTATTTCAAGGATCCAACTAGAAACTCGATTAGTTTTGATTTGGATCTTAAATCTAATATTATACAATGAGTTAGTTAATTTATGTTTTATACATAAGTTTTTAATTAAAGAGTCTCTAGGGAAAAAGGTTTGAGAAAATTTGTAGCTCAGGAAGTGGGTGAGATTTGTAGACTTGCTCGTTGAGCCGGTGTGTCTGATTACAGACTTTCATCACCCTGCTAGGTAACATCGTCAGTGAAACGTTGGTGTTCTGTCATTCTTGTTATTTATATGCCTGGGGTGTTGGGCATCAATTCCGGTTCTGTTTTTCAGTGGATTGTATATCGGGTCGAGTTGAATGTGTTTGTTGGTGGAGTTCCGGTTGGAATGCCAGGCTTCCAGGAATTCCCTGGCATATCTCTGTTTGGCTTATGCTGTTATGGATGTGTTGTCCCAGTCAAATTCATGTCCTTCTTTGTCCGTGTGTATTGAGTCCATTGAGAATTGGTTGTGCCTCTTGGTGGCTAGTTGGTGTTCGTGTATCCTTGTTGTCAGTTTTCTTCCAGTTTGGCCTGCATAATGTTTCTCACAGTCCTTGCACGGTATTTTGTATCTTCCGTTAGTTTTATTGGTTGTGGGTGTGGGATCCTTTACATTTGTCAGTAGCTGTTGCAGGGTGGTTGTTGGTTTGTGGGCTACCCTGATACCTAGAGGTCTGAGTAGTCTTGTGGTCATCTCTGATTTGTCCCTGATGTATGGTAGGGTGACTAGTGTGTCACAATCCTCTATTATCTCCGCAACAGGCCATAATTAGAAGACACAACACGGCTAGACACACTGTTATGTAGACGGCCTCAGTGTTCACATATATGGAAGCTTAACTCCAAACGATTGTTGATACATTTATAGAGAAGAATGAAAAAATAGCCTCGGGCTAAACATTCACAAGACGAAGGTCCTCTATAGCTTGCTGCTGCTGCACAACGCTGTTGTCCAACTATCTTGGTCCACGGCGAACCACTAGACAACATAGATCAATTCTCATGTCTTGGGAGTCTCCTTTCAGCAGGACAAACAATAACATTGAAATCTAAATTTGCTTCCTTTGAGCTAGTGCAGCCTTTGACCTCCTGAGGAACAGTGTGTTTGGTAAAAGCTTCAAAGCCAGCACCAAGCTCATGGTCTACAATGCATTTGTGCTATCTGCACTTTTGTTTGTGTCAGAGATGTGGACAATGTGCTGTAGACATCATAAATCCCTAGTGGAATATCACCAGAGATACCTTTGCAAAATCCTGACAATCCCTTAGCTCCAATGTCAGTGTTCTATGTCAGGCCAACATCCCCACTGTCACTGCACTGGTTTCTGCCAATCAACTGCATGGAGTGAGTCACATCGTCTACATTCTCAACAAAAGACTTCCAAAACAAACGCTCTTTACCAAGTGCCATATGACACAAAGTTACCAGGAAGGCAGGGGAAGTGCTTCAAGAAAGTCATCAAAACTTCATTGAAAGTTTCAATATCCCTACCGACTCATGGGAATCTTCTGTCAAAATTGTCTAAACTGGCTAAGAAACTTCAGAAAGGGTATAAACCATCTCTGACAAGCCCAGGTGGAAATCAAGCATGACCAATGGAAGGAGAGTGCAGAAATCTGGGCCTCCCACCCACCTTCTTCAGACAGCACTTGTCCCATATATCGCAGGGTGTACTGATCCAGCGCTGAACTGTTTAGTCAACCGAGGATTCATAATTCGAAAGTCATCCTTTGTCTCAAGGGACTGCTGTGGAACAAGGCGGAATCTGGAATTAGTCATCATCACTGTCTAACTACTCTTCTTCCTATTATGGAAAACATTTTCTCTTTGTCCTCAGTAAACCCAGATTTTGAATGTATGCTCACCTCTTGTGCAAAGACACAGGTGTGTGCATACTTGAAAACAAGGATTGTTTCTGATAATGAGAGATAGTGGGAACTGCAGATGCTGGAGAGTCTGAGATAACAAGTGTAGAGCTGGATGAACACAGCAGGCCAAGCAGCATCAGGGGAGCAGGAAGGCTGACGTTTCGGGCCTAGACCCTTCAAAAATTTCTGAAGAAGCGTCTAGGCCTGAAACGTCAGCTTTTCTGCTCCTCTGATGCTGCTTGGCCTACTGTGTTCATCCAGCTCTGATAATGTTGGGAGACCAGCTGTCTAATCTTTTTTTAAGATATACTTAATAAAACATATCTTTACAACAACAAAAAAATGTATTTATACAGCATCTTTAACATCGTAGAATGCCCCAAGGAACATCACAGGAACATTGTCAAACAAAATTTGAAAGCAATCCATATTAGGACGCTGCCAACAGTGGATTGATTAAAATTAGGAAATGTAAAAGAGACCAGAATTGGAGGAACACACAAACCTGAGATGATTGTAAAGCTGGAGAAAGTTTCATGGTTAGAGAGAGAGACCAGCTCTTTGAGGAATTTATAAAGAAAAATACACAACTTGAAGTTGAGGACTTTGTCAAACAGGAGGCAATACGGGTCTGAAAGCACCAGGTGACAGCTGAATGATACATGGTGTGATTTAGGATACAGACAGAAGAGCGTTGGCTGAGCTCAAGTTCGTGGGAAGCTTAAAGATTGGAGTGGGTCAGGAGACCGGTGGAATGATTAAGTTGAGAGGTAATAAAGGCATGGATGAGGAGAGAAACTCAAACAGATGGAAAAAAATCAATGCAATGGAGGTGGAAATAGGTAGCCTTGAATACTTCTGACCTAGACTTTCCACTTCATTCTAAGCCCATTCAATATATTACCATCAATGCAATCTCAGTCACCTCTCTTTGGGGTAGACTTGAATCAAACTACTGGAGAGTTTCCACCTAGGATGGTGGGCATCAAAGCCACATATCACCATGACATGCCACATATCACCATGACATGTCACATGAGAGAATCACAGATAGGATGTGGATGACATCATTGCATGTGTGATGATATTATCATGTTTTGGCATTCTGCATCATCATTACTAAGGTAAGTAGATGAAAGATCAAAATACTGGATGTGAAACCGTCCAGTACAGGCCAGTGGTCAGACCAGCTACAGTCCTGCTTTCCACCCATCCTATTTCTACTTGATCCCTATTGACTTTAGTTTTAATAGGGTTTCTTGGTATCACATGTACTCAAATGCTGATTTGATACTACAAGGTCATCAGCCAAAAAATGCCATAACCTAAATCAGTAAGGATGAACAG